GCCACTGGACTTTCTTTGTTTTTCCGTGAAGAGGAAGAAGCTGAAGAACTGAAGAAGCTTCTTGGATGAGAAGCAAAACGTCTTCAAGGAAAAACAAAGTCCAGTTGCCTTTTGAAAAAGGACTTTTGGGAAAATCCTGGCTACTTATTAATGTCGGAAAGAGAAAGACATAAGTAATGCTCAGAATATCAACACCACATACACACACACACAAAATGCAGACCGGCATCACATGGATGAATTTTCCAAGTCCCAATGCAGCTCTTTGCAAGTGCATCCACTGACTTAGCCATCTGGAGAAAATAAACATACAGGATGTAATAAAATCTTATCTATGATCGGAGCTGTCCTGCCCCCTTGTGGCCACGGAGATGTGTGCAGCTTCATTTAACAGCTGTTCTCCAGATGTGCAGGAGCCGGAATGTTTCCAGGTTGCAAGACTTACGGGTGCATCATTTCTGGATGTCACTAAGAGAGGATCGACTAAGACGGTCCCTTTGATGGTACCCTGAAATAGACATCAGGATATCTCCACTTTGATTTTGTCTACTGTAAGATGGGACAGAGAAATTTGGCCAAGGTTTAATTTTCTAATTTTTCCCTTACTAAAAGAGAAAAAAAGCTGCCTAATGCTTGGATCCCCGTGATTTGGGATTCTGGTTTGTCTAGACCAGGGGTCTCCAAACTTGGCAACTTTAAGACTTGTGGACTTCCAACTATGCTAGCTGGGGTACTCGGGGAGTTGATGTCCACAAGTCTTACCAGTTTCCAAGCTCAGAGATTTAGACTGTAGTGGGTTGTGTTGTTTTTTTTCAAGATGCACACTAGAAACTCTTGGTTGTGATGAATTGTTCTTCTTAGCTGCAATGATTCATGTTTTGTTAGCCACCTGGATTTGCTATGAAGGTGTTGATTCAGCAAACGGGGTATCTGTTCTGTGGCATCAGTGTGGGGGCCCGAAAAAACCCAGTCAGAGCAATTCCAATAATCAACCCACAGTCAAAGACAGTAATTCAAGTTTATTTCATCAACTCTATTGATAAATTACACCATCCGGGTCAGCTGAATTTGGCTAGCCCCCCCCCCTTCCCATGTTCACCAGTTGTAAACCTATACAGTAACACAGCGGCCTATACCAGAAACCAGAAGAACTTGTATGGTTATGACAAAATTATATGCATATCAACCCCTATATACAACAAACAGTATACACAAAGGAAAGGTTTTTTTGTTGTTGTCGCTGCTGTAAACCATGCACACCACAGCATAAGGACAAAATTGCATCTCTTGATAAAGAGCTGTTTGAGGGCTCAGCACTGGGCCAGCTTCTTTGTTGAGAGCTGAGTCTCTCTCTCTGTTAAAATCAGGGCTAGGTGCTAGAATGGCATTTTATTTATTTCAATTTAAAAACACTATGCAATCCCTCCCCCTTTTTTTTGCTTCTTAGCAAGATGTGCCCCACCCTACTCCTCTTGAATTATTAAAATTTTAGGGATCTAAAAGAGTGTTTCTTAATCTTAGCAACTTTAAGATATGCTGGCTGGGGAATTTTGGGAGTCCAAGTGCTCCTACCTTAAAGCCGCTGCTCTAAAGGAATGACTGTTGCAAAAAAAACTCCAGGTAACTTAGCCCAAAATTCTACATTGGTTTCTTGCTAACTTTGTGACCTCCAGATTTGTCATACAGGTCAAGAATTCTGAGGACTTCAGTCCCAGCACATCTGAAGGAGCAGCTGGTCCAGGCCATCCTCTGAGGGATGTGTTTTGCATCAAGGCTTATTATGATGTAATGTCCCAAATTTTAAAAGATTTAAGTCTTCCAAAGAAGGTGGGGGCTGGTTAATATTCAGTATGCCTGAAACAAGGAAACCTTCTACAAGTCTCTCCACGCCCCAGAGTTGAGAAGGAACTACAGCAACAAAGTTCATAAAACTGTGGTCATCACGACAGAAATGCTTCAAAGCACAGAGCACGTACTATGTGTCACTGCAATCTTCACAAGAGTTTTGCATAGAGATTCACACTGTCCAAGTGCATCAAATAGCCCCGTTCTCCACTTTCTGGGTTATTTCCTAGCATCAGGAAGAGAGGGGGGGGCACCAAACAGGAGCTTCTCTTGAAGGGACCAAGGAACAGAAGGCCTCAATTGATGCCAGACCCCTTCCAAAACATCTGGAACCCTGCAGCTACTGCCCCTATTCTAGACCCCCACCTGCCAATGGAGAGCCAATGCTGTAGGCTAAGCATGTCCAACCTTGGCAACTTTAAGACCTGTGAACTTCGACTCCCAGAATTCCACAGCCATCCGTGCTGGCTGGGGAATCCTGGTAGTCGAAGTCAACAAGTGTCAAGGTTGCCTAGGTTGGACAACCCTGGTGTAGATTTAGGATTCCTGCTTTGGGAATTGTGTGCTGGTTTCCGTTGTTGCAAATACCAAGCAGACATGACACACAACCGACAGGAAAGGCCATTTCTCAGAAAGGGACCACGGCTGAAGGGAAGCCAAGTCAACTGTCGGCTGCAAACCTCTCTGGCCCTAGGATCCCTGATCCAGTTCTAAAACCCGATGCCTTGAATGATACAACTGCAGAGCCACAAGAGGGAGCTCACAGCATCAGGCAAGCTTTCCAAACCTCGGCCCTCCAGTGCTGAAGACTACAACTCCCATCATCCTCAGCCAGAGCACAAGGAAGGTTGGTGCATTTTCTCCCTCAGATGTATTTTGGCCGACCACCTGGGATGGTAAAATAAGAGTGGAGCAGATGAACAAACTCTAGAAAGCTCAAGACAGATGAGTCCATTATTCAAGATGTCCACTCCTTTTAGACCACTGGAAATGGCACAGCTGGACACTTAAGTATCTTTTGTGATATTTAGGAACAGCTTTGCCTCTATGTACCCGAAGGCTCTGCTGACACCTTCCTGGGTTTATCAGCTTAGTTGGTTTTCCAGGAGTTCCGTCTTCCTACCTTTCCATCAAGACAGCCATCACTGTTCTGACGTAACCAGAAAAACAGGATTCCTTCACTCAAAAAAGTGCCGTGTGCCATTGGACACCACCCACAGGTGTCTGTCTCTCCCGTGTTGACAGACGTACGGGAGGTGCAGTTTCTTGCACCCCATACTCATTGGGTGTTGGGTGCACAAATGCAGGATTGTGTCTGCATACAACCAAGATCTAGCCAACTACCTTACTTGGCAAATGATTCCCACAGCACAAGGGTCTCCTACCTTGGCAACTTTACAATTGGTGGACTTCATCTCTCAGACATCCTCAGCTGGCATGAGCAGAGGACATTTTCTCAAGACCACAGTTCTCCTTGTAAGTGCATCCTGAGGAAAGCAGCCCCTCTCTATCGGTCTCCTCCTCCTCCTCCTCCTCCTCCTCCTGGCAAGCCAGGTTCGTAACTGCAAAGCTCTGCCTTGTTGAGCTGGTTCCACGTACAAGCGATATCTCATTTCCCCCCCCCCCCCAAATCTGATGATAACTGGAAGCCATCCCCACAAACGCTCAAATGTCATGCTGGGTCATAAAAAGTGTCCAAAAAGCAAAACAAATGTTGGAGTTGCCCCCTCTGATGAACGCTGCTTCTATTGGGAAACAGCATCTGCCATAATAATTCAAAAAAAAAAAAAAAAGGAGAATTTTTCCAGGATAAAAGCTTCGCTGCCCCCCCCTTTCTAAAAGAATACACACATTGCAAGAATAATTATTAAAGTGGACAGAGGGCATGGAAGGCCATCTCTCTTTCCAAAAATGTTAAAATGTTCCCGTATACTTTTAAAATGCGTTAAAATTCAGCCGCCTTAGAGAAGCCGGCGGTTGCGTTTCCTGATGCCAACCTTTCTCTCTCGCTTTCTACCCCGAAATAAAAGGAGCTTGAGACCCAGCAGCAGCAGCGGCAGTCAGATTTTTCTTTTTTAAAAAGTGATTAAATATTTACAGGCAAAATCTTCCCCTCTTTGCTAAAAGCCAATTTGCACCAGACACTCATCAACAGCTTCTTCTCTCAGGCTTTTTCCCCTTTGCGCCTGAAGCCAGCCGATCTTTGTTTTTTCTGCGGCCGTTTGCAGCCTTTCAAAATATGTTGATGCAGCCAGCGCCAAACTCCTTAAAAAGGATCTGAAATGTTCTTTTTGGAGTTTTGAAAATCACTTCGGGGGGAGGGGTGACAATTAGGTCTTGAACTTCCACCGTTGGGGAAGTGAGGATTCTGACACCCTCCCCAATAGGGTAATAGACCTTAGAAGTAGAAGGAGACTTGACGTGACGTCACAGTGAGTGGCAATGCTGACCTGGACAGGCAATCCTGTCTTTGGACTCACTTTGGCCACCACTGGTCATTCTTTTAGTGGCCAGAGGCGGCAGCCCATTCTCCTACCTGGGTTGGCCGGATGTCAGGGGTGGAGCTTAAGGGAAGCCCCACCCCCTCAGCAAAGACCCCGCCAAGGCAGGAAGAAATAGAGAGCGCCTAGGCTACGGCCAAAAGGCATTTTTGCAATGAAGAGCATTAAATGGAATGGTTGGCTTCTCCAATTGAAGACGCAAGGCTGAAAGCAATAAATGAATGGATCTGCAGCTACCCAATGGCCCAATATCCCCTGCCTGGGTTTTTTCTCCTCTCCGAGAGCTGGATGGAATATAAAAAACGACCAGAATCTCAGGCCCACCTTATAAAATCTGGAAATGGCTCCCCTGGAAATGGCTCCCCATCTCAGGAATCCCTCCCCCTTCTCTCCCCCCCCAGTCAGAGTCCTTGTAGTGCAGCCTTCGCCATTTCCACTTGGGTTCTGCCAGGCGAGTGAGAATGACGGCCTGCCAGGTCACCCAACAGGCCAGACTTTCTTCCTTTCTTTCTTGACAGATCCGAGACAACACAGAGATTCAAAGGTCCACCCACCTACAGCACAACACTGAATGCCAAAGGCTGCCTGCATCCACCCCTCTCCCCACCTCTCCTGGAGAAGTGCCTGACTCTGCCCGTCCTCTCTGGGCCCTGATTATCGCCACTGTTCCACGTTTCCAATGTAATCTGTGGTTGCGTTTCGGCCGTCCTGCTCTCTGCTGTGGCCCTGCTTGGCCCGTGAGTTCTTCCGCTGCTCCTGCCGCTTCCGGCGGGCTTCCTGGTGCTCCTTCTGTCTCGTGAACTGGTACCGCTGGAGGAAAAGGTCTTTTGCATAATCATAGAGGTCCATGTCTAAAAAATTGAGGGCCTCGATCTGCTGCTGGGTGGCCTCGTCAATGTCGACGCTGGAAGCCCTTGTGCTGTTGTACTGGGTGAAGGGCGAGATGAAGTTCATGTTGAAGGTCTTCTCAAAGAGGTACTGGGTCTTCCGCTGGAACTCCGTCAGGCCAAAGAAGGCCATGCGCTTGAGGTTCTCCTTGGCGCTGTCCAGGAGGACCTTGTTCCGTTGCTCTTCTGGCATGACGGACAGATTGTAGCAGCCCACCAGGCTCAGGTCTGCCAGCATGCGGACTTGGCGATTGTTGGCCAGGTTGTAGGGACAGTCCATGAACTCTTGCAGGGAACAGCCGGACCAATCGTCCCCCGAGTAACAGCTAGGAAGTTCCTCAGAGGTGGGTGAGCGTCCATCGCAGACGTGCAACGAGGCCTTCCAGGTGGCTCCTCTTTGGACATGCCTCCATTCGCTCAGGTAGCGGGAAACTGGGTCCCTCAGGATGGTGATGTAGTAGTAATTCCTGAGGGAGGAAAAGAAGAACAAAGCACCGTTAAGGAATGAAAGACCCCAAGGGATGCTCCCCAAAGAGCGATGGCAGCTGGGAAGACTGAGGTCAATCACTGCTCAGTTCAAGAATTTACAGGTAGTCTTCGACTCACAAAAGTTCACCTTTAGTGACCGTTCCAAGTTGTAACGGCACTGGGAAAAAGTGACTTACGACTGTTTCTCACACTTATAACCGCTGCAGCGTCCCCGTGATGACATGATCAAATCTGGCTGCTTGGCAACTGGCTCGTATTTACGATGGTTGCGGCGTCCCCCGGGATCATGTGATCCCCTTTTGCAAAGCCAGATTCCCTTAACAACTGTGTTTCTAACTTAACAGCTGCAGTGATTCACTTAACAGCTGTGGCAAGAAAGGTCGTAAAATAGGACAAAACTCACTTAACAAATGTCTCGCTTAGCAACAGAAATTTTGGGCTCAGCTGTGGTTGTAAGTAGAGAACTCGCTGTATTTATCCGTTCCAGGTTGAGCTACTCAATGGACAGAAAAGGAGAGGCTGAAGAAACCATTACCGAAGACCTCAACCAGACCGAGGCCCAAAGAAGTTCACCCGTCACAAAAGTATAACTGCAAACTCACAAAAATGAAAATTCTTCTTTAATTCCAATCCCCCATTGCTCCCTTTGCTGGCGCCCACCCGCCACAAGAGGTCGCTGTTCCATGAAAAGAGAGAAAGCAGAGCCCACCCTTCTCTAACAGAAGGAAATAGTGACAAGTAAACTCCATGAAGTTTTTCGTTAAGACCTGAAGCAAAAAGCACAATTTCTCACACACCCCCCCCTAAAAGAGCAAAGAAGCTGAAATGCACAAAAAGCCTCGCATGATGGGCTTCGGAGTGCCCAAAGCAGATCACTCTATGGAGATTTACGAGCACCACAAATCAAATCCCAAACAAATGTTTTTCCTTCTGCTGACTGAAAATCTGCAGACAGTAGCAGATTCCACTTTCCTTTTGACTGAAGAGGTTTTAAGAATTCTTTTCTGAGTGGCAGAAATCGAGCAGCACTGAAGCAGAAAGAAAAAGGGATAAAAATGGCACTGACCAATCTACTCTGCTCGCTATCTGTAAAATGGCATGTACCCAACAGGCACCTTCTCAACTCAGTGGTCCAGGAAACACAACAATGCACCCTCCTATGCATCAGCACACCAGTGGCACAATATGCATCACTGCATGGTGCCTGCAGGGGGCAGTAAAAAAAAATAAAGGTGGCAGCTGCAATAGTGTGATTGAAATTCTACCTATTTTTGATGTGATGCCTATAAGGCAGAATTTGGTCATGCCATTTTGGCCACCTGGACCGAATGGCCACACTCTGCAGGCACTCATGTCATTTCATGTTCGGGGGGAAGAATCTCTCAATGGAGGTTGTGGGTTGGGTTCTCCACCTCTGGAGATGTTTAAGAAGAGCCTGGACACCCATCTCTGGAAGATGGCAGAATCAATTTTCCTGCAAAGGGTTGAACAAGATGCTGCTGGTGTCCAGTACTGCAGCGGTAGGATGGCTGCATCTGTTGAAGGTCCCGTCTCTGCTCCTGGGACTCTCCACCTGCACCGGAGGGTCTCTCTAGCCTTAGAACAGAGTTTCCCAACCGCGGCCATGTGATGCTGGGTGAGCCAGCTTTGCTGGCTGAGGAATTCTGGGAGTTGAAGTCCACAAGTCTTAAAGTTGCCAAGGTTGAGGACCCCTGCCTTAGGTCATTCCATAGGTTAAGATGGCCAAGATCCCCAATTATTCTGGGCGTCCAGGGAGACCTTGGGCGTTTCTCCTAGGCAACCCTTCCCTAAAACAGCAAGGAAGTTTTGAAGTCCTCCTTTGGCATGCAGGAACAGACACCCTTGGCAACGTTCATTAAAACAGTTTGTCTTAGAAGTTTTTCAAATATTTGATTAAGGGAAGGAATAAAGAAAGCGTAGCTTAGTGTGCTTAAATAGGATGTGCGAGCAAATTCAAAGCAGGAGATCGTTTTTATTGAAACGCTGGTTGCTATTTTAAGATCCTACAATGCAGCAGTATTCCTTCCCCTGTTTAAATTTTAAAAAGGGGGGGAGGGAAATGAAGAGAGAGAAAAGTTAATATCTAAGCACATCCGAAGAATGCAAAGTGTTCCAAAGTTAATTACAGGTGAGAGCGCCGGGCGTTTTAATAAAAAACGGCGCTTTCCGTCATTGTCCGTTGAGCCCTGTTTAATCATCCTGGTGCTGTGTTTTTGCACAAACTGCAATTTTTCCATCACTTTGCCACAGCCCGAGCCAAATAAAACCAGCGCTTGATTTGTCTGTGGCGGGTGACCCCTGGGTTGAGACTGCCACGGGGTGGAGCCACAGCATTGAGCCCTTCCCATACGGACCACAAATTTGTGTGTGTATGTGGGGGCGTCCCATTGAACCTTTGAAATTAAACTGGTGGATGCATAAAGTCTTTGCAACAAAGGAAAAAGACATAAACACCAGGAGAACGAGGAGCCAGCCAAAAACCTGCAAACCTCACAGAGGCAACCTTAAAAGCCAGGAAATACAGATAGTCCCCGACTTACGACAGTTCATTTAGTGACCGTTCAAAGTTACAGTGGCACTGAAAAAAGTGACTGATGACCATTTTTCACACATGCAACTGTTGAAGTATCCCCAGGGTCACGTGATCAGAATTGGGATGCTTGGCAACTGACTCATATTTATGACGGTTGTCGTCCTGCGTTCATGTTCATCCTCTGATGAGCAAGGTCAATGGGGAAGCCAGATAACTTAACAACTGCAGTGATTTACTTAAAAACTGTGGCAAGAAAAGTCATAAAAGTTGGCAAAATCCACTTAACAAATGTCTGACTTAGCAACAGAGGTTTTGGACTCAATTGCGGTCGTAGTCGAGAATACTTGTACATCGTTACAAAAATCAAATCTTTTGTTAGTGAAAAGGCTGGCCTTTAACCCCCTTGGCTGAGAACCCACTTTATAGACGTTGTCCTTGAGTTACGACTGTTCATTCAATGATTCTTCGAAGGTACGACAGTGCTGGAGGACAGGACTTATGATCAGTCCTCAGGGCTGGCTGGGGGATTCTGGGAGTTGAAGACCACAGGCCTTAAAGTTGCCAAGGTTGGACACTACTGGTTCAGACCAAGAGCGGGGGCTAGCAGGGTCTCCAACAAGCCACCAAACCAATCTTCTTCAAACTTGGCAACTTTCAGACTTGTGGACTTCAACTCCCAGAATCCCCCAGCCAGCTGGGAGTTGAAGTCCACAAGTCTGAAAGTTGCCAAGTTTGAAGATCCCTGCACTAAACTCACAAAGAACAGGCCATTCCCAAATGCCAGAGCAAGGCGGGTGCTTCAAAAAACATCCGCCAAACCTCTCCATTCCCAGCAGAAAATGCAGAACATAATTAGAGGAGAGAATCTGGCCGTCATAATTAATGCATTAAATACTAATATCTTCCCAGCCTTGTGGCAAAAAAAGGGGGGGAAAAGGACAGCGATCAGCAGTGCCAGCCCCCAGTAATTTTAATTTAAGCTTCCATTGATTTCATTTAGTGCAGCTCCAGTAGGTGACGTGGGAGTTGGTATCAATTGAAAAAAAAAAAGGAAAAAAGAAATATATATTACTACAGCCCACCAAACAGCCCTCTGGTATTTCCACCTAGCGGAAGGGGATTCTCGCTTAATTGGATCGAAAAAGCAACCCATATTAGCTAAGGAAACTTAATCAGCGCCATAAAATTAAAACAGGGCCGGCCGACCACCGTATCCCTGATTAAGTCACTCGCAAACTGTTTGGCAAGAACTGCAGAGGCTTGTGGTGTTAATGATCTAAAGTCCCTCGGCCTCCCTCAGGGAGGAAACGGGAATCTTAAAAGCCGACAATTAGAATATTTCACGGGCGGTTTTACCGCAGGGCACAAGAGCCCCCAGCTCCCACCGCTGGCACGGAGGCCCAGCTTTAGCCAAAAGAATTGGGCTCTTTTTCACACTGAAGCTACCGAGTTTTGGGGGAGCCCTAGAAATGGGGGAGATCTTTGCTAGCCAGCGAAGAAGCCCGTCATTTCCTTTTGCATGCCGGGGTCCTTGTTTTTTTCCTCTATTTTAGAGAATGGGGGACTAAATCGAAGGGATCCTCTGGAGAAAGCCCTACTGGATCAGGGAGAGCTCTCTTGACGGATTTCTAATTCACAAGATCCTCAAGCCTGCAGGGAGGAATGACTTGGTTGTCGTCCCAGACCCGCACACCAAAGTCACCCTATTAAAAAGACGATTGATCCCTAACTTAAAATGCTCAATTGTATCAGTACATTTCATTCGAGGTGCTAAAATTCATCTGTTCCCAACAGAATCGCCAGAGTTAAAACTGAACTCCGGTTAGAACTGAAGAGGCTTCTTGGATGAGAAGTGAAACCAAAGTCCAGTTGCCTTTTGGAAAAAGCACCTTTGGGGTCAGGTTGCTTCCCTCCCCACTTTCTGACGCGCAGGTGGACCCAAAGAGCCGGCCCAAGAGGGAGCCTCGTGTTCTCAGTACCACGGCTGAGGCAGAGGGATAATTTAAGAGAAAGGCAGGAGGAGACCACATAATTACAGGCACCTTAAGAGACCCGGTGGAAACATTCGGGAGGCAGAGAGAAACCACTAAATGTCTGCCCGTAAATTTCTCTCCAAGTAGAAGCAGCATCTGCACAAATATGGCTGTTGTCACTGTACAGTACATGAGTTTATTGTGCTGTTTATCCAGACTCTTGCACTTGACAGCTCACAATCTGGGCTCTTTTTAGGGTTAACCATAGAGGCTCCCTGCAGTTGGAGGAAGAGGAGGAGGAGGAGGAGGAGAGAAAGGAGGGAGGAGGAGGAGGAGGAAAAAGGAGGAAGCTGGATGGAAAATTAAAAGCAGCTACTCGTTGTTCTACAAGGGGGGGGGGTTATAAAAGGCTGACAAACAAACACTCGGGGAGGCTGTCAGTAATGTCCAAACAAGACATCCATCAGCTCACAAAAGAGCCCTTCCCTCCCAAACAGAAAAGGCAGCCGAGCCATCAGCTCCTCTCCTCTCTTCTCCTCCTGATGGGCTGCTTGCCCCTTCCCTCTGGAGGGGGGGGGGCTGGGACGCTGGGCTCCCCCCTGCAATCCTAATCAGGCTCATCACAGTGCTGTAAAAACAAATCAATAGATGCTCTTGGCAGGATAAGTTAATTAATACCAGCGCACCTCTGCAGCT